GTGGCCGAGTTGACTTTTGGACGAGTTGATCGAATTCAACTTAGGCTAGGCCTGGTAGACCTAGGTCTAGGATAGCTAGCCTAGGCCCTGTCTCTTATACACATCTAGATGTGTATAAGAGACAGCAGTGAATGTATTCAGTGTGTATTTTGTTGCGCGACACCTCGGAAGCTCTATCCCCAGTTCCACAGCAGGAAACCAGATTCAGTAGTGACGTCATTTTTATAATCGTCAAAAGCATGCAACAAAGAAAAGTTGCGCGACACCTCGGAAGCTCTCCCCAGTTCCACAGCAGGAAACCAGATTCAGTAGTGACGTCTTGTTTATCATCGTCAAAGCATGCAACAAAGAATTTAAAAGCCTATAATCAGTAAGTTTTTTTGGTAGAAATTTCAAGAGATTTCATACGTCATTTAGGTACAGCCTAGCTACTAGACTAGGCCTTTCTTTTGGCTGACCGACCTTTCCTGCCTGAAGTAGTAGTAGTAATATCCCATATGACTGGTAATAATAGCCTAGTGTCTGGGCCTAGGGCCTTCTGTTAAGCGGTCGGGGCATAGGCCTAACTTAGGGGGAGCAGGTCAACTCGGCCACAAAAAGTTCGGCTACAGCCAACTCGGCCACAAGTCAACTCGACCACAAGTTATTTAATGTAAATCTCAGTTTTTGCATCCTTTTTCTTCAATATATGATTGGATTGAAATAAAGTACACAGTATATTTTAGCAAAACAGGACCACCACACTACCAAAAGAGATTTAAATGCTATTGCCTATGAATTAAAAAGAGTTATTTATTAATGTTTTTGTCTTCTGTTTACTCACAACATTCTACTTCAACAATAATATTAAACAACAATAACGACAATAAATTAGTAATATTTACTTTAATAATACTAATTAGTCATTATGATGATAATAAAGGTGATACCAACAACAACAACATTAATAGTAATATTTATTTAACAATACTAAAATACTAGTATGGTAATAATAACGATATTTAAATATCAATTTTAATAACTAATTAGTGATAATAACGATATTGAAGGTGATAATAACAATAATACAACAATAATAAATTAAGGATAATGTTTATTTTTATAATAATAGTAATACTAATTAGTAATAATAATAATAACGATACTACTTATAATACTAGGCCTACTTAGTAATAATAAGGTAATAATATCGATAATAAAGGTGACAACAACAATAATAAATATTAATAATATTAATAATATTAATAATAATATGAGAAATATACCAATAAAACACCAATAAAAATAATTTTTTAAATTACTATTATTAAAATAATAATACTAAGACTAACAAATATAATAATAATAAAAAATCGAAATTTATTTATTACTTATATGGTACAGTACTGTAATAATAATAACAATATCAGCAAAAATTTGAACAATATATAATGTTAATGCTAAGACTAATAATTAATATTAAAACTAAGGGTAATAAAAACAACTATAATAATAATAACAACAATGACAACAATAATAACAGCAATAACAATAACAATAAGTATAGTAATACTTAAAGAATTAGTATTTTATACTTGATGAATTACTCCTTCAAAGTGTAGTACAAGTAAATGACTTGTGGCCGAGTTGATTTGTGGCCGAGTTGACTGTAGCCAAACTTTTTGTGGCCGAGTTGGATCGAATTCAACTTAGGCTAGGCCTGGTAGACCTAGGTCTAGGATAGCTAGCCTAGGCCTGTGTAAGCCAAACTTTTTGTGGCCGAGTTGGATCGAATTCAACTTAGGCTAGGCCTGGTAGACCTAGGTCTAGGATAGCTAGCCTAGGCCTGTGTATCTTGTATGTTGACATAGTTTGGCCTAAAGGAGCTAATAAACTAGCCTTATTAGGCCTACCACATCATAAGCCAAGGCCAACTTAGCCTACATACTAGCCTAGATAGCCTAGGCCTAGGTGGAGGCCAAATAAAAACATATTACAGTATTATTAAGTAAGCATTAACAAGAAAGGGTTATCTATTACTAATAGATGTACACCATTATTACTAGGCCTATAGAGTAGGCCAGGTTCTATATTATGGTACTGGAGAAATAGTAGGCCAAGGCCTAGATGACCTGGGCCCTACCTTCCTTGTTGTAAATGGATTCTCATTTAGCCTGGGCATGAAAAGGTTGGCCTATGCATAATTTCACTGTTTGTTTATTTTAGTTAATTAATTTTTAACAATTCATGTTAATTAGCCTATGTTATGCACTTGTCAATTGTAGTCCCGGAACTACGGGGAAACACTTTGTGTACATCACTGGCTCAGTCCAGGCTAGTGCCCCGCTATGGCCCAGGTCCGGGGGCCAGGACTAGAATTGACAAGTGCATTAGGTAGTGTTGAGGCCCCAAAAAACATCTCAGCTACAGTATGTACTACAGATTTAGATCATGCCCATTAAATAGTATCTACTTTACTAGAGACTGACCAAGAGAAAATTTTATTAACATCAATAAAATTGAAAAAGTTAAATTATAATTATATAAATAAAAAAATAATAAATAAAGGCTATAAATAATACATATATTGTTTTAATAATAAAATTTTCCATATTGTAGGATCTCACTTATTAACCGGATGATATGGCTGAAAAAAGAAAAACAAGAAGCTCGACTCTAGAGAAAACCCATGTAAGTAGTCCACTGTATATTGGTAACATTAATTACAAAAATAATGTTCACAATATAGTTAAACCTTGTTAATTGTCAACTGTGAAAACATGACACTTTTGGGCAAGCCCAAAATGTCTGGTTTCGGGAAAAAGTGGGAAAGAATTCTGGTGTTTGGAGAGTTTCTGGGTTTCGAGTTTTTTGAGAGTTATATTATATAGATATATTGTTGTAATTTATATAGAATTGGTCGTGTGGAGATCAAGTTCTCTGTAAATGGCATGACACTAAATATTATAAAGCAACAATTGTGGCAGTTGCTAATGAAAAAGTAACAGTTGTGTATGAATGTGACCAACAGAAACATACCGTAAAATCACACATGGGTAAGAAGATTGTTTTTTTTTAAATTTTAATTTAAGAGTAGTGTATTGTAAATTAAGTAGTTGCCAGCTTAGTGTTGGAGACTTCATAATCTTTCGACTGCTTCAGTTACAACCATCAAGATATAGTCTCTTCTGTATAATGTCTTGTATTTTTAAATCTTTCAGTGAAACACTATGAGAGGTCTACTAAAATTCCAAGTAAGAAATCATAATTATATTTTCTTTATACGCAAGCTACAGTAATTGTGATGTCCCCACTTGATTGGCAGTGTAATAATTCCTCAATTTGGAATTTATTAACACGCTCAATGGACTAGGGTGGACTAGACCTAAGTGTTGATGTGCCCAGCTAGCAGTACGAGTGTATCTGGAAAGTTGATTAATCCGCCTTGGTACTGCAAATTTTATATGAAATTTACTTATTAAGCAAGGCAATAAGGGTCAATTTTACTTCAGGACCTTGAGCACAGCTACACCAGGGAACAGTGAAATTCCTGGCTACACTAATTGCTGTAACATTTCCGCATGTTTGATTTTAATATTACAAAATTGTGGTATTTTTATTTTTACTCAATACAAAAACTTAACAAATTTGTTTTCATTTGAGGGTTTGCACGTATGAGTATATGTATTAAACCAAATGCTTGGGGTAACTGCATTTATTTAGACTAAAACACTGTGGTGTTACAGCAAGCATTTGTTTTAATTTGCGTTTTAATAGTTTTAGACAAATCATTGTGTGATATTTAATCATTCCATTGTCAATTGACCCAAGTTTGTTAAATTATAATTGATTTTTGGAGTCATGTTTATTCATAGAGAATTTCACATTTTTTAAATTACTCTTATATCAATATATGGTTTTTGTACCATAAGACTTGAAATTAAAAGAAAGCAATGTGCCACGCAGAGGAATATTCCGGTGAGTAAATGACGTTTTTCTATACCAACACCTGTTACAAAAAAAGGTTTAAATAATGCCTTATGTTTTTAATAATTGTGTAATATTATTGAAAATCTAAGAGCAATTATTATTAATCTGTCAATATTCAAAATTCCATACAAGAGTAGAGTATCGTCAATTATAATAATTTACAGATTTAAACTTATTGAATCACATTTAAACTCAGAATGACAGTTTAAACATAACTGTTACCATCGAGAATGTAATTATTCATCACCGTCATTATCATTATGAGTTCTGACAATGAATGATAGATGCTTTTATTAATTAGATGTTAGCAGCCTAAAGGAGCGGCGTAACAATTAAAACAATACTTAAATATCAGGATTATAGATTCTGTATAATATACAATTACAATTTTTAGATTTTCATAAATGTTCCGTATAAAATTTTCATGTTCCAAATGCTGTATTAAATTTAGAGTGATTTTCTGTAAACTTTTTCATTGTATCATTATTTCTAGCAAAATCAAAATATTGAAAACATTTCGGATAGTTTGACATTTTGTGGACTGAGAAAGGTATGTGTAAATTGTTGGTATTGTGATGACAATTATTGTTTTGATGAATGATACTGGAAGTGTGTATAAAATTGACACTCATCCACATGGGCAGTGCATATAAAAGCCTTTGAGTTTGTTTAAAGTGATTAAAATCTAAAATGTTCTTAAACCAACAAAACAAATGTAACTATAGACAACACAACTTGTAGACAACAACACTAGTACAACACTTAGTTATCCATTTGTAACCTTTTTATATATTTCTAATTTTTCTTCAAGCCAAATTCAGATTCTAAATTTAGGGGTATGTACACAGTAAAGCCTGTTTGAATAATGTACTTTACTGACTGTTTTAAATATTGTTAGTGTGTTTCTTTAATTTTTTTTGTTTTCATGCAATCTAATATAACCTGGACCTGTATCACACAGGTAAAATGTCCAAAGACCTATTTTCTTCTGGTGGTTAATTGACCATTATACTGGAATACAATTCTTCTTTCTAAAGAGTGCTATTTAACAGAACATTTGTACACAGGAAGAACAGCTTTAGTTAAGTGGTTCTGACAGTTTTTTCCTCACGATACTAACATCAAACACATGTTATGAATATCTTTGTTTCATTTACTGGTCCTACTTTGTAAAGATCTATTGAAGTTGAATATTTCGTTTCCTTTCCAAATTTTATATATTTCAAATTCAAAGATTTTTGTTGTTTACTTAACACATTTAATAAAATTAATTAACATGTAAATAGCAGATATCTGCATTAACTATAAATATACATCATTCTCAGAGGTTATGCATAAACTGATGATCAATTTAGTTCAAATTCAAAAGCGTACTGAACTTACAGAATCTGGACACCCCACCATGTGGTACCTAGTTGTTTTTATTATACAGTAACTCTATTTAATCTTTCAGAAGGAGGTGGTGATTATAGTCACAGTTTTGTTGCAGATTCCAAGAACTGTTCATCAGAAGAGTTCCTTCCTGATCCTGTTCCTTCCAGTAAAGGTAATTACAACTATGTTGACAATTTGAATGCACAAATCAATTACCTACCGTAGTAAAGTAACATCATGTTGACAATAAGTATCTATGGGCACTTTTTTCTGATACATGCAAAACATGTTAAAATGAGCTATTAGCACCTTTTAAACTAAAAATGATGAATCAAAAGTAAGTATTTTAAATAGCAGATAAAATATTAATTTGCACATTACTCTAAAATACATTTTTGGTTATTCCCAGTTATTGTTTTTGTTGTATATACAATGAACACAAGACAAATGACGGATCTGGACACCTGACTGTGTGGTATCTTGTTTTTATTGATATCGTTTTTATTTTAAGTCTATTTAATCTTTCAGATGAAGGCGATGATGACAGTCACAGTTTTGTTGCAGATTCCGAGGAGTGTTCATCAGAAGAAGAGTTCCTCCCTGATTCTAATCCCTCTAGTAAAGGTAATTACAACTATGCTGACAATCTGA